TCAATGTGAACACTATTTCTTTTCTTTAAAAATAGTTTCATAAGACTATGTTATGATTGTATGGAAGGCAATATAGTAGATAAGAAACCCTTCTGTGTTTTACTTTTTTGGTTTGGTACTGCTAGTGTAAAGGAGGTTTCGTGACATAGAGCATAATGTACTGGGCTGCTAGCCAAAAGGTTGGCATTTTGAATCCCTAAACTGCTCCAAGGTAGAGAGATGGGCAAACTCTTCCTAAGATTTGCAGTCTTAAGACACCAGATTGAGGGTAACTAATTTTCCAAGTGGAATAAAAGCAGTGAGTTTGGTTTTAGTGCACTTTGGCTAAATTATTTTAGTTTTCAACTTTGTCTTTTTAATCTATGCGATTTTTAAAGTAATTGTTTTTCTTAAAATTAACTTTCATTCTATTCCCTTTGTAGAACTGATTAGTAATGTTGTTAAGGACCTATTTGGCTTAATACTTTCAATTCCAACACCTTCTTCCACTTCTCCAGTGGTTATAATCACTGTTAAGTATTTGGCATTTACTTTTTCAAATCTTTTTCTATGCTTTCTAATGCATAATTATGACCCTAGGAAAAAAACAGTCATGTGCTTGTGTGTGGACTTTTCTCCTCAGACACACAATTTCAGGCTGGGTGCAGCATTAGCTATCTTGGGTTTTCTGTTCAGTTCAGCTTTGGTCTTCCTTTCAACAGAAGATATTGAAGAGTATCTCAAATTAGTACACATGGAAAGACCTCATTCTGGGTTTTGGTTTTTTTTAATTTGTTTGTTGTATATGACATTTCATAGTTTGATTAAATCCTGTTTAATTTTATTTTTCCCCCTCTGGGCACAATTTAGGCTGTTTATACTATTACAAACAATGCCATAAAAAACACTCCTCTTAAATGCCTCATCATGTCCATGCTTGAGTTCTTTTCTTAGGATATATATGAAGTGTGAATACATGACTTAAGTATTTATGAATAGTGATAAATTAAGTACATCATCACCAAGGTTTGAAAATACTCACTCATGCCCTTACTAACTTTGTGATGATCACTCCCTCATTTTTTTTCATTATTAATCTGATGGGATGTTTTAAATATTTAAATTGCTTTCTCTTAAGTGCCTGAAGACAGAATACTTCTGTGCTGACACTTTCCCATTCACTAGTCAGCACATCCCCCTCTTTCTGTCCTTCGAGATCCAGCCAACAGGTGCTCGAGTTGCACAGATCATTTGTGCTCAAAGACTAACCAGAAGGGAGCTCTGTTGGTCTCGTGGTAAGGATGTGTGTTGTCAATGCAAGGACAGGTGGTTTGAAACTATCTGCTCTGTGAGAGAAAGTCAGACAATTTTCCAACTCTGAAAACCCATTTGAGGGTCAGCTATGAGTCAGTTTCAACTCAATGGTATATAACAATAAACTGTAACAACAACTAATCTGAAAGATGTGAGGCTTCTGAAAGAAATTCTGCTTCTCGGAGGTGACAGCCATGGAAACCCAGCCACGTGTTTTCTCTGGCATGTTCTGCTCTGCTCTGCTCAACAACAGCCAGGAGGTGGGTTAAAGCCAAAGCCTGACTTTTGTTTTAGCTTCTCAAGGAACATTTTACCCATGGTTTTACACATGGTTTACAATGTTTCTCAAGGAACATTCTTACTCTTTTGTTACACATGGTACTAATATTCTTCTCAGTCTTTCAATGTAATGTGGAGAATTTTGTTTGTGAGAGGTTCTGCTCTGTATTATTTTTAAATCAACCATACTGTTCTTCCTCTATACTTAATTGCTTTTCATGTTATGTTTTAGTATTGTAATTAGACTAAAGTAATAAAGACATTTTTCTTGTATCTTCTTGTAGTACTCTTTTTTTTTTTTTTTTAAATATTTTAGGGAGCTCTGGTGGCCTAGTGTCAAGAAGCTGCACTGTAATCCCAGAGGTATGTGGTTCAAATCCACAGATGTTCTGCTGGAGAAGGAGGGGCAATCTCCTCCTGTACCAGTCAGATCCGATTTGACGGTACACACCCATACTGCCTCTTAAGTTAGTCATGTGTGGAAACCATAGCTACGAGACTTAGTGACTGTACTTGGAGTACACCAGGCACAGAAAGATTTTAATTGAGGACTAAATAAATGGCAGGAACTGCACTAATATAATACCTTTCAGCCTTCTCAAAAGAGCTCCTCAAAATAATCTTGTGAGTTAAGCATTTTTACCTTTGTTTTTACAACAAGAAAACTGTGACACAAGAAGTCAAATGAATTTCCCACACTTGCATAGTCAGTCAGAGGTAGTGCCAGGATATAAATCCAGGCAGTCTGCCTTCAAAGCCTGTGTTGCTATCTCTGGGTCATGCTGCTGCACCCCAGTCCTGTTGAGGTCAGGGTGGTTCCCGTAATCAAAATAATCATCCAAGGCTGAAAGAAGTAAAGCAATGTGCCCAGAAGTCAAGATTTGGCAATCTGACTTTACCGACCTTCCACTCCTCCACAGCAATTGCAAGTGGAGGAAACCTGACTGCTAAGCAATGCTGCCTCCAGATATTATAAAGCCATAGCTGAAAGGAACTCAAGGACAAAGTGGGGTGGGGTCGGTGATAAAACACTTTCAAGAGGAAGTATGTTTGGGCTGCTTAGCCTGAGCACACAGAGAAGGAACCTGGAGGTTAGAGAGGAACAGAGAGCACAGAGAAGACATAGGATTAAACCATCATTGGACTACGACTGAAAAAAATGATAATTCTCAACCTCCACCTGTAATAAAAATGCTACAGGAAAAGCTTTCCACTGGAGTAATGTACATAGACCCATAGTTATATCCAGAATCGCAGCAACTCAGCCTAGATGAGAATTTTTAGTACATAAAACTAACCTGTAGCTTCTCTTAGTCAACTGTCAATATTAAAAGCAAAACAAAATCTACTGTTAAAGAGTGGATTCTGATTCACAGTGACCCTGTAAGCCAGCGCCCAAGGTGGTGAACGTTTACCAAGCAGAGTGCTTCAGAGCAAGCTCCCACTAAGCAGCCGGTGGATTTCAACCACCACCCCTTCTACAAGCTATCCAGTGCTCAAGGCAGTGTGGCACCAAGGCTCCTCAGTAGGTCTTTATTCCAGTGCACTCCTAGCCTTCCTTTAGGCATACGGTGAACATGTGGTCATCACTCACCCACTTACCTTACAGGGAGGGGAAAGGAGGCGACATGAGGGCTGCGGGGCTGCTGGCCCCCAGCTGGAGAACTACCTGGAGAAGGATGAGAGCTGCAGAGTGCCCAGAATGATGAGTGGCTATCCGGGCTGCAAGTGGGACAGAGATAGTGAGGATGCTAGTGAAACTGACCTGGCAAAGCATGACAAAAATGACCATGGAGACATGAAGGAACACATGGTTTGGCACAGGCCAGCATCTCGTAAGAGACACTGCAGGAGTGGCAGGAAGGTATACAGGAATATCAGAAGAGGATGCAAAAACTAGATGAGCAGTACAAAAAGCAGGTACGAAATGCAGAACTGAACAAGTAGACAGAAATTACAGAAAAGATGGCTGCAGTGGAAGAATTGAAGGACAAGTGGGTGGAGCTGAAAGAGAGCTTGACTGCTGAGCTAAAGAGAAGACGACCGAAAGCGAGAAGCCCACCACGGAGTTGACTGGAGGTTCTATGGGACTGAAATCCACCATCCTGACCAGAAAGTTGCCCTGTTCCCATCCCAGATGAGAGAAGGAAGCCTGTTCCCACCCAGCTAGACTACTTGTTAACAGACAAACAGATTATGGAGGATCTGAGAACCTTAAATAGGCTTAAGCCACCTGAGAGACCAGTGTCCCCATCTTCTCCTGAGCACATGCTATCACCTGCAGTCTCAAGCCCAGAGAATTAAAGCTCAGAGAGAAGACGGCTAATTCTACCACAATCACGTGTAGTAGCACAAAAGCCAAGCCTCCCACGGGGAGTCAAAGGACAGCCAGGACGGCAGCTGGGTCATTAGCTCCGTTGGAAGCAATGGTGTCTGGGTGGGGATGAGCAGGGACAGCACCAACATGAAGATCTACAGGGGTCAGCCCCAGAGCTAAACATTAGTGATCCACCAATGAAACAAAAATAACTTACTTCAGTAGGAATTCAGCTTTGGAGCGTGGAGGACACTGCTGAAGATCCTGCAGGACACTTGTGGCCAGTCATTCCTGTTCTGGTGTCTCTCTGGCCTTAACTTCCTGGCTTCTATCACCAGGGAACCTTCTTTTCTTTTTGGGGGGGACCCTCTTATGTTCAGGAGATCAGGATCAATTTACTGCCCTATTTGGTTTTTTCCTTGTATTTTTCTATTTAATTTAAAAAAGCCCCCCAAAACCCAAACAACAAACCATAAACTCCTTTGAATTAGAAAACAAAACTACAGTAGATAATCCAAGAAATGGGGATATTATGAAAACTCCTAAACGAATTCATGTTTTGTTAAGAATACAGTTGAACTTACAGTAATAGATTAACAGAACTGGGCACACGTATTGTTGTGTATCCTTGAGTCAGAACAGACCCATAGCTGAACCTCTGGCATATTTTCCAAGGCAGTTAATCACATGGGAGAAGTGTGCTCAACCTTCTCTCAGGAAGTAGATGGTGGATTCAAACTGCATGTCTTTGGGATTGCAGAGCAGCTTCTCACTACTAGGCCACCAGAGCTGGGCAGGAATATAAAGGTTATCTAGTTCACTTCTCTCACATCACAAATGACAGTGAAACTGAGAGAAATAAAATTACTTGTCCTCTGTGCCACGGTTACCTACACTAGGCAGAACAACCTGCTCTATCATCAATTAACTATCACAAAGAGACCTTTTATTTGGTTTTTTAAATATTATTGTTCATGAAGGGACCTTTTAAATGTCATTTTATTTAAAGCTTATATTACTGACATCTGAGTTAGCATGGAGATAAAAACACAGTGCCCCCTTTAAAAGCACACTTCTCTGAGCTAAAAACTCATGTGAGTAGCATACTCACTTTGTCAGTCTTTCAATGGTCTGGATGTGGACGTTGTTATGGGTTTGGGAAAGAACCGCATCATGCTGAGCACATTTCAGACAGAGCCCACCGACACGGTTAGAAACATTAGCAGCAAGAAGGGAATCTTTATGCTTCAGTCGCTCTTGAAGATCTTCACATTTATTCTGATAGGCAGCTAAGTCCTTCCTAAAATGAGAAGTGACAAAAATCAGTTCATCACTACTTTCAAATACTGTTAATAAATATTACTGGTAGCTACATTTATAACCATGCAAACCTCGAGTTGCTATAATCAAGGAGGCTTTAGGAAGAATATTAAATGATCAGGAAGTATTAAAAGAAGATGGAAAGAATATACTGAATCATTGTATTGAAAGGAATTGGCAGACAGAAGAATTTCATGAAACAACATATAAGCAAGAGCCTATGGTGATGAAAGAAGAAGTTCAGGCTGCTTTGAAGGAAATAGCAAAAAATAAGGCCCCAGTAATAGATGGTACACCAACTGACATATTTCAGCTAACAAATGCTGCCCTGGATGTGCTCACCAAGTTGTGCCAAGAAATCTGGATAATAACCATTTGGCCAACTGACTGGAAGAGATCTATATTTGTTCCCATCCCAAAGAAGGGTGACCTAACAGAGTGTGGAAACTATAGAACAATATCATTAATTTCACATACAAGCAAGATTCTACTGAAGATTATCCAAAAACGACTGGAACAGCACATTAGCAGAGAACTG